CGAGCCGCTCGCGAGGGGAGGGGCGCTTCGCCCCCCACGCGACGACGACGCGGGCGACCTCCTCCGGCGGCCCCGCCGCGATCCGCGGGGCGCGGCAGACGCTGAGGCGGAAGGCGAGCTGCTCCAACGGGACGCGGCTGGCGTAGCGCTGGGCGGGGATGAAGTGCTCCCACCGCCGGAAGATCGTGCGCCCCGCCGCGGTCTCCCCAAGCCCCTCAAAGGCGAGAGGCGCTGGGTGGGCGGGGTCCATCGGAGAGCGGCTGGTCGTTTCCCTCCCCCCCCCCTTCAAGGTGCGTGTCAGCCGTAGTGGTAATGCTAATAAGGAAAGGCCGTGAAGCGGCGTCAGACGGGTCTGGGCCTCTCTACTCCTCGTCACCAGTGTCGTCGCCCTCTGGCTGTGGAGGAAGCGAGTGTGGAATATAACCTAACTTGGAAAGGAAGAGTGGTGTTACGGATAATAGGGCATTGCAGTCGATGCAAGTAGACACTGACAGTATGGCTCAATACAGTTCGTAACTTCATCATGGGAAAGAGTTGAGCATCGTACTGATAATGACGTAAGCACCCATGCAACTAAACCTCACCACAGCCCACCAACTTGACATGTCTTGCCCTTTTATAAAACAAGGGGGGTGCATTAAAAAAAAAACGATATTTGGGAGGCGGGGCAATAAGGCATTAATTTTATTGGCCAAATCAATTGCACCAATAGACGTAAGTGTAGCGCATCTACATGAGCCGCCCCCCCCCCTCCCCCCTCCTCCCTCAGTGGCGCCACACGAACCATGCTCTGTTGGATTAGCCTGACATCCACATCAAAGCCCATGAAATCAACAAACAACGTTAATAGGAAGGAGCGTCATCGTGAAAATGGCCGGCTTCTGCCGTAAGGCTCGACATGATAAAACGGTGCGAGTGTTCTCCGATCCGCATCTTTTGTACAAAATCGCGCAAGGAAGGTGTAGAATGAAGTTGCCGTCATCCCTTTCGAAGGGCTACGCATATGTGAGGCGCATTGTTATCGATTAATCCTACTGACTAAGATGACGAGAAAACGACCTCCCCTGCTTGTTTGTTTGTCTACTCACTTCATATGATCCGAATAGAAGAAACAAAAAAAAGGTACATTAGAATATAACAAATATATTGAGTTCTTTTGTCCACATCACGAGCTCAAAAGGGGAGGAAAGAACATAATGATATGTGAGGAAAGGATAACGCTTACCCTGAATATTGTTGTGTACATGAATGCTACTAATTAAGCATTGGGAATCAATGGTGTCTCGCCTTTCTTTCAGTCTTAGAAGCTACCGACTGCATGTGCCCCTTTATACCATCTTCTGGGCACAATGGCCTACGGTGCTCACAACACCGCGCACAATCTCTCTCCCTGTCTTGAAGTATGCCCAATAGGGCAGACACATGCACAAAGAGCCATTAAAAGGAAAATATGGAAGAGGAGCAATAACACATCGGAAAGAATAAAAACCGATGGAATATGGATACATACATACATGTATATATATATATATATAGATATAGATATATATTTATAGTTCCATAAAAGTTTATCCAAATGAAATAAATATGAAAGTACTGTAACTTACATTCAAACAAGGCATTTACACAAAAGTTCACAAGCTTCCCCTTCAACAATAATTGCGGTGCGAACGTATTTTCATCGTGGAAATAAGTGCCACTACTCTCTGATATGCAATTACCATCACATCCGTTGTAATCCAATTCCGATAATATTACAACAAAACTATTAGAAAAAAATGTTTATGTGAGCGCATCAGCCAGAAAAGATAATGACACATAAAAGTAAAAACACACATTGTGTCTCTCCATAAAATGATTCTGAATTTTTCGAAAACGCGAGCCAGGCTAGGAAAGAAAAAAATAAACCCACATCATGGCTACGAAATAAAAAGAATCAATCACCGTACCTTTCCAAAAAGCAACCAAACAAGCTGCTTTTATTTACATCGTGAGGAGGTAAGGAGAACGCCCGGAGTCACATATGGGTGTAATCCTCATTTCCTAGATAAGGATATATATAGTAGAATATTATTAAGATATACATCTGAAAAGCACTATCAAGGAAATATTGAAACACATGAAGGCCATGCATTACAATACCTCACCTCATTTAGCAATGAAAATATGGTTAATCAAAAAAAAAGGGAATAATAATAATAATAATAATGATGATGATGATGATAATTAATCGTATCTTTGTTCAATTAAAACAGAGTTGTTGCTCATACCACCTTCCATCCCCTCCTCCTATAGCTCATTCCTAGCTCTTAAATCAAGTCTAGAAACAGACCAAAGTGTCCAACGCGCGAAGCTGGCAAAGCATGCCGTATACATGACATCTTCGCCCTCCCTCGCCTACCCAAAAAATAAAATAATAATAATAATAATAAAAGAAGTGTACAACACCTTTCCTGTCTCCTTCTCCCCTTCCTCTTCCTGATGTCCCCCCGCATACGGTAGAACATCGCCCATAGAACCGGGATGACGTTTTTGTTGTTGTTAGGATGGACGGTTTGACCCCCCTCCCTCCTCNCCCCCCNCCNCNCTCTCTCTCTCTCTCTCTCTCTCTCTCTCTCTC